ATATATATATATATATATATATATATATATATATATATATATATATACATACATACATACATACGAGGGCTGTTCGAAAATTATTTAGACATTGTGTATATTCTTCTTCCCAATGAACGTTTTTCGGTGAAAATTTGCATATGCGTTTGGCAAAGTACGAAGTAATAAAAACAAGAAATATTTTTCAAAATTTTATTTCTTTTTTTCAGTGGTATATTAATGTGTCAATGGTAGGGATACCCGTCGCAGTCAGGAATTTTGAAAATGTGTAATACCAACGTTCTAAATCCCGATGGACCTATAGTAAAAGCGAAAATAATACAACTTATGTTTATAATTTTTCTATTTAATTCTGACTTCTTTTTATGCAAGTTTGTTTAAATTTCGATCAGAAATACGGAGATAATAAAAAAAAATATTCGCGGTATAAAGATCCTAAAATGACAACAAAATGGATTTTTTGTCAAGGCGGCACAGTCCTTATGGAATAAAAGTAAATGTCTCAATAATTTCCGAACTATATCTTTATATATATATATATATATATATATATATATATATATATATATATATATATATATATATATATATATATATAGATAGATAGATAGATAGATAGATAGATAGATAGATAGATAGATAAATAGATAGATAGATAGATATAGATATTGATGACTGATGAAGAAAGCCGGCAAGATAACTGTAAAGCTATTAATATTGCTTTATACTCCTCTTCTTGCGTATATTCCCATCAGTTAAAATTTCCGATGCATAATTTGCAACAACACAATTTAAATTAAACTGGAAGTTTGATGTCACATGAATCAAGAAAACATATATCACATGATACAAAAATGAGCTTTTGGTTTTCTTAAGTGTATTTGCAATCGTATGTAGTTTTATCTTGAAGGAAAATATAGAAACGTATCCACAAACTATTTACACACTTAAAACGATATCGATATTATTTTCTTCATCTAGATTGTTTATTTGTTCATTTATCTTTACTGTAAATAGCTAAGATTATAGAACATTAAATGAAAGAAAATTAGACAAATTTCCACTTTTTTCAATCTCACCTGAGCAGAAGGGTTTCTTAATTTAATACGTGTGCATCTTCATAATTTATACCCACTGCCTGGCGGAAGATATGGAAGGCAAAGATTTAGTATAATACTAGAGATATTGTAAAACATAAACCTTATCAATTTATTGTCGGAATAAAAAAGTTTAAAAGGCAGGTTCTTCCTCAGCACTTCAAAATTATTATTAGTAATTAAGGAAATAAGAATTTCTTTAGTTTAAAGGCAAAAATTAAGAATTGCACCTTGCAGAAATAAAATCATAGCTCCTATAAAATACATTTTAATCATACAAAATAGTGATGAGTTAAAATCAGTCTTTCAATGGCGAAACTAAATTAAAAGAGATGCCCGGCTTTAATCCATCAAATATTTTTTATGCGTTTAGCTCTATGCTCGGCTTAAATTTTAGTTTCTCTTCTTATTATCTATCTTTAAGGTATATTTTTCTGCTGTCAAGAATTTTTTGAGATAAAAAAGATTATTGTACACTCATATATTATCATATATGATAATAAGTCTATTTTTTTTTTTTCAAAAACATTCTGTTTAAAATATCGATGTAGAAGACGTGTTTGAAAAAAATGATATTCTTCATTTATATTTCCAAAAGAGAAAAGATTTCAAATTAAACGAAATCGTATGTTCCTTCATCTCTCCAGACTGACCTTTCTCTGTCTCTTGCGTACCAAGGCACTATAAATTTTCTTTTGTGTAATTTGTAGGTTACAAGCCACCATTTAATCATTGATTACTTAACTTTTCTTAGGTTATTGACATCATTAATGTGTCAATATTGGGGATTCTTCTTGAAGGCCTGGAAATTGTAGCTCTTAAATGGAGATTCACGATATGAAACGTGTGTGAATCTTAGGCTCTGGAATACGAGAGTTGACCATAAAGTTTCTGGACAATGGACTTTTATCAAAATAAATGGTCCTAGATATACCTATTGTGTACCAAAATATTTGCTATGAAAATCCGAGACAGAATAATTTTTTTCTGATTGATTAAATTTAATTATTTATTGAAAAGCGCGGTCTTAAATTAAAGGTCGCAGATAGTGCGTACGGTCTAGGATTAAAATGCCATGAACTTTGAAATAAAGTTTTGTGATTATTTTCTTTATAAAAGCAAGCCAAAGCTTTATAAAAATTAAAATGGGTAACATATAATAGGGCTATTGTCATTTCCTGATATTTTAAGTACCGCTTACTATACAGGCAGTGAAAATATTAAGAAAAAAACTGATAGAAAAAAATTGACAGAAAAAGCTACGTCTGCCATCCGAAAGGAACAACTGCCAATCATAAAATTATGTTTTCATAAGGTAGAAAAGACGTCAGAGACAAGATATTTTTCAAACAACTTGAACTTATTGGAATATATTTAGTTCATTGATTTGAAATGAGTATATTCGATTTTTCAACGGTATATACACTTTGTAGACACTACAAAGAGGTGGAAAACCACTGTCATTTGATGAAAATGGGATATCTGTTCATGACGTTGTTATTGACGCTACGTCGGACTGGGCTTCTCGCCTGTGTATATGGACTGTTTATACTCATGACGCTCGTAAATTATCGTGTATTGATTTGAATTTCAAAATTCAAATCAATTATGTTCTATACATAAATAATACTGCACACATTTGGCAGTGTGGAATAAAAAAGAAAATGTAGCCTGTGTGGATCTACAAAGTATTTACACCTTAAACGTAAAATAGTGTGTATTGTTTGATTTTTTATATTTTCATTAAATAATGGTCTCTTTAAAAATATTATTGTACACACTTGCCAGTGAGGTCATTATAAAAAAAAAATTATAGCATTTGTCTATGAACTTTGTCGACAACCCTCGCATGAGCTTTTAAATGGAGATTCACGATATGAAAAGTGTATGAATCTTAGGCTCCATTAGAATTGAGGACCTGTTACACACGGATTACATGATATGGGCACTGGCTGGCGGAAGACATGAAAGGCAAAGAATTAGTATGATACAAGAGATATAGTAAAACATAAACCTTATCAAGTCATTGTTGATGTTATTGATTTTGATAAAGGTTTGTGACTTCAAATTTATTAAAAGCTCCTTGGAGTTTTTAAGTATACACATCTGATTTACATCATTTGTCGAATATATTGTGGCACAGTACTCCTGAAGTTTCTCCTTCACCGCTGTTGATATTTTAGTGAGGAGAAAAGGAAAAGGCTTGGAAAATAATTTACTGGAACTTGCTATGTATCTTTCTTTGTGAGGAATTTTATCACCAGTTTTAGAAAGCGTATTTTAGTACATCCTTTTTTTCAATTCAGACCTTTACTATATTTCCATCCAAAGAAGAATGAAACCGCTTAACACTATTTAAAACTTTTTGGACTGTTTTTAACAGTTTACATTTTTTAATTTTTTTAAATAAGTAATTATTTTCTTATAGTTATTTTTACAGTAAAAGATTAAACAAAAAGCATTGATATTTTTTACTCATATATCGGTCCTTTGCGGGCATGTTTGTTTTTTTAATCACACTTTGTGCTAAGAATTATGCTTATTATATCTTTGTAAGATTATCTGTTTACCGTCGTTTGATATTATTGTCTAGGACACGGAGTTTTTGATAGTTGGTGTTGAGTGAGGACGGGTGCAAATATTGATATCGTTACAGAGTCATATCTAGTGTTATCTTGTATAGAAGTAAACTGTTGAACGCACGCGTTTCGTAAACATTAACCAAACACTTCACAACACAAATATTATCAGTACGTAAGAGATTTAACTTTACATGTAAAGAAGAATCATTAACTTAGGAATTTCTTTTTTAAATTCTTTTGAAAATTTTTATTACAAAGAAGAGATTGTTAATTTGAAGACCATTAACGGTAAGCATCCAGTTATCTCTGATGAGATTGTAGCTCTACTGGTGTTTACTTAGAACAGAAAAGTATCCTTGTATAGTCTACTTGCATAAAAAGTCAGACCAAAGCTGAAGGTGGAGTAGTGTTGCAAAAGAATTCAACGAATTTATTTTTGGAACGATGGCAACACGTTTGTCGAAATAAAAATTAAGTGTCCTGGTATAATCTATCTATACCGGTACGTACCAAGTGTTATTGAAAATGATCCAAAACTGTAGGAGGAGTAACGTTCTGAAAAATTGTTTACAGATTGACGGACAAACGACGGGCACCTTACTAATGCAAACTCTTCAGGTCTCCGACCAGTAGAGCTAAATACAAGCATTTGTGAAATAATTCATTATTTAATTAACCCACGTGACACTCAAGAACAACAATGGAATTTTCCTGATTTAATCGAGTTATATATTTGAATTTGAATTATATTTGATTAATGATATAAAGGTGGAATTTCAAAGGTCAACATTGATTTCTTATAAAATTGATAACTAGTACATGTGTAAAAAGTAAGGTAAAATAAATATTTTTACAATCATTCTCAATATCACATACACGTCAATGCATTACATGTTATAGTTATGATGAATTATTTACTTTTAAAACATGATAAATATTACATAGGTATCATTTCACATTTTCTATTTTATGTACAGAATGAGAAAAAAATGCATGTGTATGGAAGAAAATGCAATGAATTCATAAATTTATTTTTAATTTTAATAGATTTATATATCTTTAAGATAAATAAATATTAATTGTACTTCAAAATATTTCGTAGAATGCTATCCAAAATTTACATACCCCTAAATAATAAAAACACTTCCAGTTTGTATCAGATCTAACAGATAAAGTCAATAATACACAACTTTTAAATCATTGTAGTGTGACGTTTAATTACAGATTGGGACTGCTATGCAAGCAACAGCTACCCGCTCAATCATCTTTCTGTTAAGCATCATAACTGAAATATCTCTATAAACTGGACGACAAACCAAACCTGGCACACCAACGGGGCGGTCAAATGCGCACGCAGCCTTCTTTATTCTCATTGGCTCTCGATAACGATCCTCGTCAGTTATCATCGTCCATTGACATAATGAGGATTCCTCCATTAACCTTGCATATCCAGTGACGACAGTAATGTCACACAAAGCGCTTCTTCGGAGGTGTTTTGTCGAGTTCTTGGGTGATTTAAGGTCAATTCCGGGTCGGCTATAATTTAGAGTGCCTGCGTTATCCCTTAATGCGGTTGTCTCAATCATTTGAAAATACTGACATATCCAGAAAGACAAATAAAAAATAAGCTACAAAACACAGGGAACAACATGTTAAGAAAAGAGAAGTATATTTAAGTAAAAAAATTAATAAATGAATTTGACTCTTTTATTATCAACATTTCACTTCGGTGTTTAACATAGAAAAGAATTTATCAGATTTTGTTTCCGAAAATGTCAATATGTTTTATATATTGTCGAATATATAATTAAACAGGGTTTTTTTATTACTGTTTTTTAAAACTTGAATGAAATAGGTCTTTGTATATATACCTTCCAATGACTGATGGTGCTCATTATTTCAATTGAAGAAGCCGACAAGCTAACTTGTTAAGCTATTACTATTGCTTTATACTCTTCTTCTCGTATTTATTAACATCAGTTAAAATTTCCGATGCATAATTTGTCACAAGACAATTTTAAATTAAACTGAAAGTTGCATGTCACATGAATCAAGAAACCGAACATATATCACATGATACAAAAAAGAGAGCACGTGCTTTGTGCTTTCCCTAACTGTATTTGCAATCGTAAATAGATTTATCTTGAAGGAAAATATAGAGACGCATCCACAAATTATTTACACAGTTGATGCGATATCGATGTTTTCCTTCATCTAAATTGTATATTTGTTCATGTATCTTAACTGTGAATAGCTAAGATTATAGAACATCAAATGAAAGAAAATTAAACAAATTTCCAGTATTTTTCAATCTCACCTGAGTTGAAGGGTTTCTCAAATTCATACGTGTACATTTTCATGTAGAGTATATCTAGTTTGCTCAGGCCTATTTTCTATTGTCATAAGGTACAGATAGATACAGAGGATATCCGAAGTATTGCCTCGTGCGTTATGTTTGGAAAAATCGTCTAAGATCTTCTTTTCAAGAGCAGAAGTAAAGTTAACTTTTGAAATTGAATGAAAATGCCGAAAATAAAGATAAAAATTTAAATAGAAATGCATATTTTTAATATCTTTAAAAAATCAATATCTATCCATGGAGGTAAAATTTTTGCATGAAACATTTTATGCTATATTTAATTATATTTATTTAACTGTGAACTTAAGTTTGAGTTTTTGTTTTGGCCACTGCTCGCATAACAAAACATTTTTAGATGAAAATATGGCGTATGTATGTATTTCTAAAGATTATTTTATTTATTTATTTTTTTTACATGAACATGGAATAACAGGTTTCTGACGATATCATATTCCGTAAACATTTAGTCCTCCTCTAATACCAGTTAAGAATATGGTATTTTAAGGTTGTTTTTCATCGTGAATGAAAGATTGAAGTTGGTTACTATAGTTTTTTGTGGATCAATGTATCAAAATATTCAGGAATGAAAACTTTGATAATAAGATAATGAAGACAGTTGTACTGGAACAATCACAAATACATCATTTAAGTTCCTCGTCCGAATGAAGTTTATGTATAGGAGCATATTACTCTAGCCTTTTTTCACATATGAACTGATGAAAAGTAAAACTTTTAAAGAAAACATTTGAATTGCTTCTTATACGCTTGAAGCATAAAATTTGACACCCTAATTTTTTTTTAACGATACATGCGTGTAGTATACAGGTTTTGTATTTTGATGATCTACATATTTTTAAAAGGCGAAACACTCAAATTAAAATGCATATGCACTTCATCTTAAAATATTTAGAGGCTTTAGAGTAGTAAAGGAAATGTACACAAACTTATTCCAAACACTCACTTCTATATAATTTTTTGTACATGTATTATGTTCAAATTATCAAATACATTGTCTTACACCTCGATAAGAAGTGTACGATATTAGATATTCAAATTCGACATAACAATGAGTTAAAATTTACATATTGATTTGAGATATTACAAGTGTTTATAAAGGTGACCAATTTCTTAATAAACTGAGATAGATATATTTTGAATGATATATTCGTGTACACTGTAATGTAAAATTGAGATGTAATAGCTTTCTGAATAGCCAATCGATACAAAATCAGGTCACACTTTGAGACGTTTTTGAAATAAAATGTGTCATTTAAGTTTTAGGAAATATAATTGATTTCTTAATTAAATTAAGAAATTTAACAGAAGGATTGAAACGATGCAGAAATTGAAAAATTTCAAAATTAATCAATCTTACAATCTTCAGCTATGGATCGTTTCCTTTGAACCTCTTCCTCAATCCAAAAAAAAAAAAAAAAAAAAAAAAAAAAAAAAAAAAAAAAAAAACAAACAAACAAACAAGCAAACAAAAAAAACCACCTTGATAAATCCATGAACTTTGAAAAAAAAATTCAACAGAAAAGTCTTTATATTATTCTTTCAAGAACATATACACTTGACAGTTGTTAAAAAACAAAAGTAAGCGCTCTGAAAAACAAAAACAAGATTTACAAGTTTGGCAAAGTAAATGTAAGTTCCAGTCAAAGCTAAAATGCATATGAGGACTTCTTAAATAAATATCAGTAAACTATTTTTTTTAAAACATTTTATAACGTTCTATATATAATTCTCGGTCTCATCACTCGGCCTTCTCATAAAAATAATGGAATTTTATGCACTTGTTCCCATGACTATTTTATCTAAAGGAACTTTGTCAAAGTATGCGCTTATGTAATGACTGAATATTGAATGCAACGAATTCAAATATATTTCTATTACGAAAAAATAAAGAAATGAGTCCAGCAAATTTATTTTGACCAGCAAAGATTACAGGAAACAGTACAATAAAGTATGAAAGTAACAAAAAGTAATTATACTTAAAAGTCCAATCAATTGTGAACAGAGCAGACACGGACCTCTGAAAAGAGAGCTAGGAGCATGTACCATGGAAAAATGAGCATCCCCTGTCGATCTGTGTCCCTTGTAATGATCGCGTAAACGGAAAAATCCGTAGAAAATTTAGTGTGAAAATAATAGCCTAACAATATGTATGAAAGACGGAAACCAGCATTCGGCCTCGCGATAGATTGTATTTGCAAAGATTCATTGTAGCGACCATAAAATTTGCAAAATATTGGCTTTTAATCAAAATAGTTCACATACTTGTATCATTAACTTATTTGTCAGTAGCCTGCCTCATTTTAGAAATTGTTCGTACGTAGAACATGCTCGAATCAACTGGGAGACATAAACCCGATATGTAGGTAATAATGATATGATGCTATTTAAATAAGAGATGTTGACTTTAGTGAAGTTGAAGTCATCACCTTTATCATAAAGTTTAGTTGTTAGTTTGCCATCAATGTAATTTTCTAGTAAAATATCCAAGTATGAAACTGTCAGACTCTGTGGTGTCTTTTTTTTTCGACTTCAATAAGATATATCGATTCAACGTAGGAATGAAGATGAATATTGTTAATAGATAAAACGTCGTCGATATATCTGAATGTCGAATTTAAGGCAACAGCAAGAGGCATTTTTTTCATGCAATTTTTTTGAATAAAATCTGCTTGATAAGAATACAAAACAGGTCTGCTGATAACTTGGATTAATTAGTACCATTAGGAATTCCAGAGTATTTTTAGGAGACCTGGTCTCCATGCAAAGAATATATTTTGTCAATGAATGACTCAAGCATTTTTTAAAATATAAACCTCGGAGTATTTGTGTACAGAATCAGAGTTTTTTAAAAAATAAATTTGCAGATAACCGGTGACAAGGTATGCAAATTTACGTGTTCCATTTTTATTGAAGAAGTACGAGCAATATTTAATTTGAACGATTTTTTAATTTGTTCATTATCGAATAATTATATATATTCTAAATCTATAAAATCAGGAAAGAAATTTAAGAGGCGTCAAGTCAATAAGGTTATACTTTTAAAAGAAGGATTGAAATGATACAGAAATTGAAATATATGCTATATATGCATATGCTATGTATTCCTTCTATCCATTTTCTTTTATGGCTTTACATACGTATTCATACGTTTATCATGGAGGACGGTGTTAAAAAATGTGTGTATTATTTTCCTATGCCTGACTCTCTTGTAATCCAAAAGATTTAACATATCTATATGGAAACTTTGCACTTAAATTCAATTCACGATGATGGATCGTGTATTTAGTAAGATTTCAATGAAGATTTTAAATACCTGTTGGATGGATTATTTTTCCGATAGTGTGTGTTTGCTTGGGACAGATAGAGAAAGAATAATGTGGAAATATAGCATTGTGTTTTCAAAATTAATTGTAAAGTTTATTAATTATAAATGTTAACGATTTATTAAGGCTAAAACAATCTATAATAAATTTTTATGAGTCCCTTTTAAATAAAAAAAAATCAGCCATGACACAATTAGTGTTCGTTCTTTCATTTTGTCACTAAATTTCTAATTATAATGAAATAAATGAAATACTATGGAAAGAGCAGCAGGGGAATTTTTTAGCTATTCCCATACTTTGTTGAATGTTCCAACCCCTTTCTGAGAGAGGTCTCTATAAATTAATCGGACACTTTTGTGATCCACTGGGAAATCCCCTCAAAATATATCAGTTTCTTTTTCTCCTCTTTCTGAAGCAATATCTTGGTGCTATTTTGGGCAAGCTATTTGAAAAATAAATAGAAATCTTAACTGCAAACAAATTAATGTTCAAAAAATAATTTATTACATAACAGAAATACATAAAATTGTTTTAAAATTTTAAATTCTTACAAAACAAAATGTAAAACATCTAATAAATATCATAATACCTAACCGTTTGAGTATTATCTTTACATATATTGACAATTTAGATTGGTCAGGACTCGTTACAGTTCGGTATAGCCGTGCAGGCTACTGCCACACGTTGATGGCTGCGCTTATATCTC